CGGGACAGGGGGCCTGTTCCGCACCTCTCCTCCGTTCGGTCCCTTCCGCAGCCGTGCTGCCTCATCGTCCGCGCCTCTGCCGGGCACTCCGCTACCCTCCCACCACCGGGGAGCTCCCCCTCGCTCCCCGCCCTGGTCCCGCCTCTCCCCCCGGCTCTCCGGGCTCCCCCCGCTCACCGCTCCTGGCCCCCGCCTGCGTTTCCACGAGCTCCTAGCCCAGCTGCCCAGCCTGCCCTTCCCTGGCTGCTGGAACCTCTTCCTAAATATCTCGAGTGCCGGAGAGCTGCCTGCAAGCCCCCTACGCCCCAGGGTGGACAGACCCTAGTGCTTTATAGAGGCCTTTGTTCCAGTCCGAATAGCGATGTTTCTGGCCTTAGCAGCCCTCTGCTGTGTCTGCATCCCACCTTGTACCTCGACACCACCATATGGGTACACGTGCATCGTTAAAGAGGAGGAGTAGCTCTCTTTCCGTCTTTTTCTCCACTGTTACACAGAGCTTTGGTTTCTTCCCACGGTTCTTAGAAAAGCCAGTGTTGAAGCGGAGAGGATTAGAGTAGTAGAGGGGACATACGGCCCCTTATTGCCTTCTTGTGCTAACCATCATCACTGTACTCGCCTGTACAAAAAGCACCACTGTGCTTCACAACCTCCAGCACTGGCCTAGGTAGGTTTTGTCTGCTTTCTCCTAAAGATGAGCACTGCTGAATTTCCGTGTCTTCTCTGTTACCCCAATTCATGGGAGGCAGCTTTTTCCCTTAAGTACTTAAGTATATCTTTGGCAGCAAATCACTATATGAGTCTGAATTAAGTGTGAACCTGGAGTTCTGAAGTTGATGCTCTAATAAGAATTGGAGCAAATTTCAAGCCTCTTATTTGTAAAGCAGACTGGGAATTTGTCAATCCTAAAAGCAAAACTTATAATGAATTGCATAATACTGTGCTATTATTTTCTAAAAAAGCAAAACAACAAAACCCCCAAAACTCCTTTTTCCTAGTGCACGATGCTGCAGCTAGCTGTTGTCTTCTTAACAACATTTATTTTGCATTGATGTTTCAAACAGCAATTTAGTTGAACACACAAAGTTTGGGCTCATGACACTGGGATAGCAGAGGAAGAAAGGAGATGATGCTGCCTCTTGGACAAATAAAGATGTTGCTTGAATTTTTCAGGGGATTTTGAGCACCTTGACTCTGAAGCAGCAGCAGTCTTGCTCTGGTGTAGCAAAAGGTTTTACACAATGGCTAATGCCTTTTTGAGTATTTATATATCTATATATTTATATACATGTATAAATTTATGTATATATTTAATACATAAATCAATAGGAAAAGGTACTTAGATTTTAATTAATTAAGTTTCAAATTTAGCATTCTCTTGAGAAGAGTGCTTATTGGAGATAATGCAGAGAAGTCTGCAGGAGGTCATTTGTGTGCAAGGTTTTAATTGCATCTGACAGTAGCTATGAAGTTAATATGCTTTTAGTGAGGTTTCTGAGGTACACATCTATGCCAGTTTATAGAACCCAAATAAATGAATGTTGTGATGGACATATTCTTCAGCTTTATACTAACAGAGGTCCACGTGGTTTGGTTATTGTCTTAGGGAAGAACCTGGAATCACATGCAGCAGGTTTTACATATCATTATATTGCATGGGAAAGCTTTACTTTTGTAATATGTAAATGTATTACAGACTGGACTGGTCTGCCTGCATCCCCTGTCTTTTAGTTAGTGGATGTAATAATGGCTCTTTTACCAACAGCAGTGGTCCCCTCCTGTATTGTCCACTACTTTGCAAGGCAAACAGCCACAGCCTCTCCCCTTTAAATTGTCAGATATACCAAATAGCATCAGAAAATATTTCAATTTATTTTTCTCATGACTGCACTATATTTACCTGTAGTTATTGGGGGGGGAGGGGGGAGTGTTTGTTGTGTTTTTCGTGGTTGGGTTTTTTCAAATTAGGTTTATGTCCTTGTCACCTACCTCCCATAAATAGCAATTTTGGGATTCAAATAGTTACCAGCCACAGGCTGTCGAAGAGATCACTTTTCATTTATAAATGTTTTGAAACTGTACCTGGGGAGCAAAAACTTCTGAACTTTTATAGTGTCATAAAGTGTTTGCCAGAAATAAGAAATAATTCACTGACTTGATAAGGTGTCTGACTGAAATTGTAGTTCAGATGCCTTAAGACACTGTTTCTAAAGTTGCTGTAAGCTCAGTCCATAAAAGAAAATGAGACTATGAGTTGGTTGAAATACAGTTTCCATGACATAAAATTATGTAGTTTGAATATTTGGGATCAAGTCAAAAGATTTTGGCTTGAGAATGTTAAAGGTGTTTTTTGTTTTTTTTCCATTATGGTATTTTAACAAGTATGCAAGCTTCTTGAGGAAAAATATGTTTTCTGCACTCCCACCCCCAAGTCCTTTGTCAGCCATCTTCTTCCCCCCCACCCCACATCTGTGAGCAAGCAATCTTGAGAAATTGTTTATTACTAGACAAAACAGAAAATAACAACAGATGTCCATGTGCATCCTCTTTTGTTTCTTTTCTAGGTATGCACTTCAGTTGGAGACACAACTGACTTGTACTGCACAGACATGTCTAGAAAAGTATCTGAATTGTTTCCATAGTTTATTATAAAAGTTTTTGTAGCCTGTTAGAGCAGCATTCTTTTTAGTTTCTGTAGTTAAGGGAATTGTATTTGATATATCAAATCTTATTATACTTTAAATGGATTTAAAAACTCAGCCTTTATAGTTCAAGCAGTTTAATTACTGTCATTACTTTCATTATTGTCATCTTGTAAAATAAGTCTTAGTCACAAAGTTTCTGTGCTGGTAAAGGGAAATTCTCATGTTTTGCTATGTTACAGTTTTGTGTTTGTGCCACTTCATTTTCTCTAGATGCTACAGAGACACACATGGGTTTGTACAACAAAGGTGGAAACTATAGTTTTGTAATAAAAGTAAAGGAAGACTTGCTGTCATTATAAAGTGAACACTTTAATGCTCATATAAAAAAAAATTTGTTTGCCCTTTAAATGGCAAAGGTGTAGGCAGAAGGGAGAGGCTAGTCCAAAGGTCAGGGCAATAGCCTAGGACTTGGGATTAAACTGGTATTTTCCTCCTGTTGCAGATTTTGGGGGTATTGTTGGCCAAATCACATTTGTGCTCTAATTGTACATTGGGTTTAATTGTACTATTCATGTTTTTGGGAATGATGCTCACATCATACCAGGATAAAGATACTGAAGCAAAACTATTTTGTTCTGCATCTCCTGTCTCTGCTTGACATCCTGCTTCCCTGTGCTTGGCAGGTGGAGCTGTCACTTTTACTGTATGGACTCTTGCTCAGTAGCATGGGAGAAGAGGAAGGACTGCATCAAACACAATTCCTGGTACGTCACTTTTTGCTTCTTAAATGAAACCATAACCTGGTACTCTGTGCAGTCATGAGAACAGGATGACAAAGAACTGGCTTTATCATGTAAGATACTAATTGAAAGCAAGCTTTAGAAAAAAATCCAGTGAATGCTGTGGAAGATTTATCTTTAAGAATCAATAAATGTTTTTCGTCTGCTTCTAGGTGCCCAAGTGTGATGTATTGAGGTTTTCAAGTTTTTTCCTGTGTTCTGCTGGTGTGCCTTAGAAAGCATATAAATGCTAAATTATAGATGTAAGAAAACCAGGTTAGCATTCAATTGAAGTTTTAATTACTCTTCACAGAAATGTAAGTTGAAATAAAAGAAGCTTCAAACTCTGCACAGTGTTTTATGTTCGATGATTCAATCATACATAATTTGTACACAGTCCCAAAAGATATTTCTAGAGGTTGTTTCACATGGAAGGGCAGGGTGTGTTCAGAAATTATACAAGTGTAGGAAAAACTAAGTAGGATATCCTTTGATAGGAAATTTGCAGGTTTGTCTAAAAATCTGGAAAAGGATCTATTGAGAAACATCATGTGTTGTATTTAATAGGAGTAATGCAAGTATGTTAGGTTTCAGGATAAAATTTTAGAAGAAATGTCCAAAGTATTTAATCCATAGCTAATCCATGGATAGCTTTTAAGAAGTTATGAAAAATTACTACAAGACCAAGTTGATTCAATTCTGTAGTCTCTGCACATTATGATTTCTGAAGAGTTTTGTACCTTCAGTGGAAAAAATCTTTCAAGAGCGGGTAAATCCCAATGAAGGTTATTTCATGGATATATACAGCAATGTGTAACAAGTGTTGTACAGAGTCAGACCAAGTGTTTATCTAGCTACTGTGCTATCCCCAGGTTTTCACAGTAGATAAGCATGTAATGTATTTTGAAAGGAACAGTGTTGTTGCCTTTTAGTGGATTTTTAGAGTCTCTGAAAAAGCTGAGAGAGAATTCCTTGAAAATATGTGGAATGTACTGTAGCAACCTGCAAAGCAAGGCAGAGTTTAGGGCTTATCAAGGAAAATGGGAAATTATATACAAAGACACTGCAATAGTATTTTGGTTTTATCAGCCTTTAAAGTTGAAAAACTTTTTTGTTTGGGTCACTACCTTAAGAAAAAAAGTCCTCAGATAGTGGGCAAACAGGAATTCTAAGATCAGAAGACTTAGAAAGAAAATAAGGAAGAAGCATAAATGTAAAGATCAGGCACCAGCTTTAATTTACAGCCCAATTTTTATAAGACTAAAAGTGATATACACTACATTAAAAAAAAGTTACTTTGTATTCCAAAGTACCAGCTGCAATATTTGCATGGGATACTGTTGTCAAAATTAGTGCAATTCAGAAGAAGAGCTAAGGCTGGTACTTCAGAGGCACCCCTTGGAGAATTCAGCAAACGATTTTAGGTGTGAATACTGAAAAGCCTGCATGCACCCTGTATGTTTTTAGCTGTGAACCTAAGCTTTGAATATAGGAATTTTGCTATCTTAGTCAACTGGGAAAGGAGTACAGGAGCCCACACAGAGGATGACTGTGACTATCCTTACTGGACTTGCCCAGTTCTTATTGGAATTATGCAGTTCACTTACTCACCCAAGGAAGGGAACTGGAAGGACTGCTTTAGGCACCTCTTCTGAATGTCTCAAGTTACATAGAACAAATCTAGATATTACTCTATTTGTAGCCAAAATAAGCTAATCTTTTCACATATGCTGCCCATGTTTTATTTCTTTCATGTTACTTTGTAAGGCATATTAATGTTCTGGAGGGGTCAAATCTTTTAAAGATGGTATGCCAGGTTGTATTTTTATTTCCAAAATTAGAGGTTAAGCATGCCAGTAGAAACTCGGGAGGAGCGAGGAGAAACTGCCTCTCCAGTAGGTGAAATACAGCCGGTGAGATGTTTGCTTCTGTGCGAGGCATCAGCCCCTGACTTCCATCAAGTGTGGAGCTTAATGGGAGCCAGGAGCTGGGAGCCCCTGCCTCTCTCCGATGCCATGCCTTGTGGACCTGCTCACCCCTGGTTCCCGAATGTCGCCTTTGGGACCCAGTCCACATGTTCCTGACCCCTGTTGTACCACACTGGCCATTCCAGAACATGGTATGACAATTCTGATGTTTCTATCTTTAAAGAATTTGCTTGTTAATAGAAGATTAAAGTTCGCTGTTCTCTTTTTTAGTACTTTTTTTTTCCCTCCTCTCTCTTAAGCTGTTTATATTGTACATGGATTTTTTTTTTTTTATTTGTTTGGTTTTTTTAATAGGACACAATGTTTGTACGAGGGTTGAAGAGAAAATGTTTTGATGGTGAAGAAGATATTGAAGGGACTCTGGCTGGTATTAAGGCTATCCCTTCCTATAATCTCCAGCGGCAGTCACTTTTAGATATGTCCTTGGTTAAACTTCAGCTGTGTCACATGCTGGTCGAACCCAACCTTTGTCGTTCAGTACTTATAGCCAACACGGTACGGCAGATCCAAGAGGAAATGACTCAAGATGGGACTTGGCAGATGATAAATACACAGAGTACAGGGCAGGCATCCCTGGATCGTCTTGTTTCAACAGATATCCTCTGCCGTTCATCTAGGGATCAAGCTGAGGGAAAGCATGTTCCAGCCTATGGTACTTTCAATAAAGACTTTGAGAGTGACCAGGCACAAGATAGTTCAGAAACTATGTCAACAGCCTCTTCAGTGCAAGCACCGAGAAACCTACAGAGCAACGTGTGGGAAATGGAGAATCCACAAGAAAATAAAGGAAACTTTCAAAAATCTTTAGATCAAATATTTGAGACACTGGAGAATAAAAGTCCTAATTCTGTTGAAGATCTGTTTTCAGAAGTTGACAATTCTTATTATGATCTTGATACTATGTTAACTGGCATGATGAGCAACACAAAAATGGGACACTGTGATAATCTTGAAACATTTTCTACTCCAACAAATACAGCTTCTAACTCTAATTGTAAATCTGATCTTAATGACCTTGATCATATTGTGGAAATCCTTGTTGAATCCTGAACTTCATTGCATAGGAGGTAAAGATCTGTTAATGGGAAGAAAAGACTTGAGAAAGCAATTTCCACAGTTTGTTCTATCAAATCTGCACGAGTATTTTACAGGTATCTATATATTATATAGATATATATATTAAGAAGCACTTCATATTGCAAAATAGTGTTAACTCTTAAAGTTAACCTGTAACTTGTAGTGTAACAATCTGATTTATTGTACACTGAACTGTAAGTACATATGGAAAAAGTGTCTATGTTGGGGGTCCAAGGCTCTTGAAATTGGGTTCTTTTTACCAATTTCTTTTAGCCTTTGATAGAGGATATCCTCAGGGAGAGGGATTCTCTCATCTTCTTATACTTCCATAAAAATGGTAATAAACAGAGAGAGAAGTTGGATAACTGGTTTCCTATTTTCCTCTGGTTTCCACTTTGTTACACCACAAAACTCCTACCATACCTGCTGCTTCTGTTTTACATCGCTACATGGCTCTTAAAGAGCAGTATGCAATAGTCTTTGTTATCCTTGCTAGCTTCTTCTGGGTTTTGCTACAATTTTTACTTCAGAAATAGTTTTAAAGTGTTTATTGGTGTTTAGATTTTTCCAGGTATTTTCCTAAAATATATTTTTTACTACAGATGTTATGTCAGCTGCTGACTTAGTAACTTTTGATCATATCTGCAGTTGATGTATTTTTTGCAAGATTTTCAAAAAGGGATGTTTTTTTACCATGAGCTACCCAATGTAGTTCAGTAAAGTGTATGTAAATGTAAATATACAATTTTATACTTTGCATTAAAATGTAAGAGCTGTTTTCATGATTTTGTTTTATAGAGTAGTACTTTACTAAATTGAGAATTGTACATTTATGCTTTTCATACCCCACATATTTGAGTATCATTATAGGAAGAGCTTTGATCTAGCTAGACACAATTACATTTAATTCATTTCAGACCATACTTTTTGTTAACTACAAACCTAAATGATGTAGGTTTTTATTTATGTGTATTTATATGTAAATGTCATCAAGTGAATTGTTTATCATGGAAGTCTACCATCAAATATTTGTTTATATGGGATAACTATCTTGCACTAATTACTACAAAAAGTGTTACTGGCGGCCTTTAAGTCTCACTGGTTGGAATGTCATGATGTCTTGTCATAATTAATATGTCCCACTCTTACCAAGAGTTTCCTCTTGGCTTTTTTAAATAACAAAAAATGTAATACAACACAGGATGGTGGTCTTTTTTTCCAGCGCATTTGGTTTAGAGTGTATATAACTAAGCTCCTTCCTAGGAGGCTTTCTGGGGGAAAAGGGATAATTTGAGTCTAGCCTATGATTTTATTCTAAAATAAATATTTACCATCAGAAGCTGCTACTGGGGAAAAGCCCCAAGCTAGCAGGGAAGTGAGAAAATGTGGATTGGTTTCAACACTGGAATATGTTGGCTGTGGCCGTGTCAGGGGAAGACATCTCTCAGTAACATGGTTGTTTTCTGTAGACGTAAGCCAAGCAAGTTGCTGAATAAGAAAAGAAAACCTTGCTGTGTGTGACAGGCTCTGCCTTCCCATGAGTGACCTTACCTGTGGTGCATGTTCTCAAACCTGGGAACAGGATTGGAGGTGGGGGTGCCACACTGGTGTTAAGAACATTTGAGTATCACTTCAAGAATAAGGAGACCACTGAGCTTGTGTGCTTTAGAATCATCTGCTTTGAGGAAAGATCGTATCATTTAGCTAAATTTTGCAAACTTGACAGTTGAATGCGTATGGGCTCCATCTTCTGAAACCATGCATTTGGTGTGAGTCACCAGTGAACTGCAAGATGTTTCTTTACATTAAATTTGGCATAAGATAATTTGTAGTTGCTGTAGTTAAACTTTGCTTTCTCACTTCAATTAATAACTTCACGTTAAAGCACCAAATAGCATATAGGTACTTGCAAGTTCAGTCTGTAGGATATTGCTGGACCAAAGAGAATTTTGCTCATGCTACATGTTTTAATTGAGAGATCACTCATAGGTATTGCAGTAATAAATGCTGATTTGGGAGGATCCAAATAAAGATACAAACTGTCATGTCATATCTCACAGTGAAATAAAGCTGGCTTGTTTGGTAGTGTTTCTTGTAGTATCAGAGATTCCTTAAAAATCATAAATCTGCAGGTAATTTTTCTTGATGCTTTTTTGTGCATGAACTGCTGGACTGGACTGCAGATGCCTTAGGGGGTTAATCAGAAAGCCAGGCAGTTTCAGAGTTTTATAAAGGGAATATCAACATTGATTGGAATAACTAAATATCTTACGTTCCTCTGGGAACCTCCCAAAATTGCTCTGAACTGTGTTGAAAAACCACAGGTTTGAGCAATTATGGATGTTCCCCTCTGCCTCCATACCCTCTATTTTCATTAAATGAGCAATTTTGTATTAAGATATTTTAAAAATGCTCTTCCCCGCCTCCTTCATGTGCATTAGTCTGCATGTTAGAGATAGGAATCAATATAACTTGTTCATAACTTAAACTGTGTCTCAAATGCACATGTGTGTATTTATAACTCTATTAGTGTTAAAACAATTTATAGAGACTAGCTGGATTAACAGGAAATGTGTTAGGTAAGTAGACATATATAGAGTTAAGCATTTAAACAAATATATATTCTATTTTATTACATTCTTAAAACTTATGCCAAATCTTATGTGCTCTTACAAGCCTGATATCTTGGCTCAGCAGGTATAATAATTGTTATTGCTGAAACTTGCACAGTCACCATGCAGAACTGATGGGTGCCTACAACTGGTCTGACTTTGCAGAGACCAGTCTGTAAAATCAGCTTGTCTCCCTGTTGGTTTAATAATGTGTCTCAATCTGATTCAGCTTCTCATGCTTTGCTTCTCCTGGTGGTAAAAAAAAAAAAAAAAAGGAATAATAAAAAAAAAATCTTATTTTCTAACTGCCATTTCATTTCTTTAGTAAGCTGTTGCTACAAATGTTAGCTGGTGGGGATTTTCTTAATTTCTATTTGTAAATGGGAAATTAAAAAAAACAACAAAAACTTAGCCTCTTAAATTAGGAAAAGCTTGTGACAAATTTTGCTGCCACTCCTAGCACTTTGTACTCCTAGGGAAGGAGCTTGTGGAGCTTGTACATCATCAATGCCGTGTGTCTGACAGGGCTGTTGGTCTGCCTGGTGTCACTGGGCTGCAGAACTGCACAAAAGAAAGCACTGTCAAGCACATAGCTAATATCCAATCTGCTTCCTTTGCAGGTAACACTGAGTATCTGTCCCCTTCTTCTGTGCATGTGGTCTTATTTCCCCTTTTCCCTTGCCGGAAAATCAGAGCTCAGGCATTCTGCAAACACAAGAAGTGCAAGGATCCAGGGTGCTGTAACCATGGCTTGTCTGCTTATTGCTTCTGTGTTTGTGTGGTGTATGTTGGTTTCTTTTAACCCCCTCTCTCTGCCACAGCTCTGGGAGTTTGCCTAAGACAAAAGTGCAAAAGACATCATCTGTCTCTACGCTTGTCTCTATGACTGTAGCTATATTTGCCTAAAGAACAAATTTAGTCAATGAAGAGAGAATCAGGTCTTTGAATAAAAAAAGCACCTTTCCTGACCAGTCTGCCTTGGAGGTGCAGCAGGGAAGGGTTTCAGCCTGGAGCAGTTAGGGATTCACACGTGAGCTTAGCCCTGAGACTCACCAGGAATTACCTGTTCTCAAAGCTGTCCTTAGACTTTTTTTGAAGTTCGGGTATGTCTGGGCTGCTTTAGTAAGCATTTTAAAAGGCATTTTAAATTGGCTGAGAGTATAGTTTAATATTGTAATTACCAGACCATTATAGATTTTTTGTGTCTCAGAATATTGATTTGTGTGACTGCCTTGCAGTCCTGCAACTTATTCCATATTACCTTATAAGTAAACAAACTGTGAAAAGCTAGAATGAAAAAAACCCAACACATTTGTTTTCTGACATCTATTATAGAACAAATAAAAATGCTTTCAAAAATTACTTCTGTTCAAAGTGAAAGTATGCTTGTGTCTCAGGCCTAGAATGTGAAGTCCCATATAAAAAAAAAAGACACTGATGATGACAAATTTTTTTGCTCATCAGTTCTTAAATGAGTGTTACTTCATGCTCTGTGACTAATACTAAGAGTACAAAGCCACCAAGTTTCAAAGAAATGAAATAAAGATTTTGGGAACATACATACTTTTGTCAATCTGGCTTATCAGATACAAGCTTTTGCAAGGATTGTCTAAACTTCTTTTGTTGTCTCTTGCAAAGTTGGCAGTTAAGTTTTCCTACTTTTTTCCCAAGGAATTTTCATGGAGAGGTAAAATTCCATCAAATAATTTGTCAGGAAAGAGACTTATTTTAGATGTTTGTTGTGCCTTAAAAAAAATAATAAAAAAAAAAATAAACAGCTAGTGAAAAATCCAAAATTTTCATTATTTGACATGCTTTTCATAAGTTTGTATGGTAGCTCTTTCTTTAAAAAACAATAATTATTCATTTGCTTAACTAACATTCCCCCAAAATGAGTGGTTTATGACTTGAAGAATTATTGTGCTAAATATTCAAGCATGACAAACATATCAATAGGAAAACCTAATGCTTTGCATTGCCAGGGAAATATTTCAGTAATTTCAACTGTCATCTTTTTAGGCAAGAGTAATTGAAGATACAGGTGATTACAAGACTTCTTGCAAAACCAGAATTAAACAGAAATTGTATTCCCCTGTATGCTGTATTTGGAAGTCCCCGTGGAGCTTGTGGGAAGTGCAAGTATGTACTGCAATAGTAAAGTGCTGCAGCAAAGGAACTGTATATGCTATTTTTCATGTTCCATTTACAGACAAGATTTGGAGAGGAAAAGAAATGTACCAAGTAATGCAACTTCAACCTGGGGTTCTGCAAGCTTACAAAACAGGACTTCCAAGGGGAAGAGCAGGTATGTTGATAAAAAACAAACTCAAAAACCAAGAGTTTTAATACTTAAAAGAAAAAACCCCAGTACTTGTAACAAATTCACTCTTCCGTGTTTGAAGTCATTACTGAGAGAAAGGCTAGATATGGAAAATACTGGGTGTTTGGATTATTTTGTGTCCAGTGAGCTGACTGAAAGTTTAAGACAAAATTTCTGAATGGTTAATTGTTTAAATTGAAGCTCGGTACCATAGTTTGCTTTTGTGTCTCTGCTTTGTTTGAAAGGTATAGGGGGAAAGTGCTTTTTCTTGTAAATTATGATTCTTTTGACAAAAGAGTACAATGGCTAATTTCCTACTCTGAGAAATATTCAGTAAGGTGTTAGGTTTTGTAATAAGCATCTTGTGTCATAGCTTTTTCTAATAAACTTGAGTAACTGTCTAGGATTAGTTTGTTCACAGCGGCTTTACCACCAAAAAGAGGTGGTAAAACTAACGGGGCTTTAGTGCAGCGTGCTCTGCCTTTCTCACTTCCCTGTGGAAGGATGGCATATATGGGATCATTCTGCCACTCAGCTTTAGAATAGCTAATTTATTTCAATCAAATCTGGCAGATCTCACAGTCACTACATTTTTAGAATGTATCCAAGTGTGGAGATACCAGAAGAAAACAGCATTCTGTACTGATATCCAGTAATTCAGATAAGGGAGAGACATAAGTTTCCAGGCATGAGACCAGCTTCAATTAGAGCTCATACCTTAGACACAGAGTAATTAATCACAGGCATAAATCCATAGGAAAGCAGTCTTCATTAGTTCCTGTGTTGCTGGAACCGTGTTTTTGAATAGATGCCGACTGTGAAGGTAAGAAGAAGTAGCAAACCTCTGGCTTTCCTTTCAGATGAGTTATATAGAGACATTGATTGGTTTGAGGGTTGAGTTTTTTCCTGGTTTATGCAAAATTTGCTGCAAAAGCAAATATGCTGCTCGTGAGAATGGCATCCTGGACTGCTGCAGTGAGTACAGACATTCTGAAAGGCCGTGTTTAAATCATTAAAAAATCATATGCAATCCTGTTTGCCTCAAGCTTAGTTCAAGTCAAAATGGGAGAGCATTAGACTCCTAGAACATGACCTCATTTGAGAACATAAGGGGCTTTTAAAGGAAGTTTTTTGTCAAGAAAGGCCTTATATGTGTGCTCAGACCTCTGAATTCACTGTGTGAGACAAGCATGCCTCCTCTAGCACATAAGATGCTAAATATTGCCAAGCTAAATGAGGTTCCAGTTCTTTTATGTGAATTCTACTGTTAACACAAGCAAAGAAGTGACCAAACTCTTTGCAAATAATCACCATATTTTGGGTCATTTCTGTTAACTTCAAGTGTTAAGCCATGAATCCAAGGTTGTGATGCATGCATTTAAACAACTCCAGGTTCTTTTTTTCGGTACCTCTTGTCAGAGCATGCTTGAAACAACTGTCCTTTCTAGAAACACCCGCTATAGAAGGCATATTCACCCTTTCCTATTGCACAGAACAAAAATTGCTCACAGAACCTGACTATGTTATGTTAATCACTCAAGAAAGAGTGAATGGTGTTGGTGTCTTTCTGGGAGGTATGCTGGACTTAAGAAGAATGGTTGTACCAGAGGTTCAAGCATTGTCTTGAACTGTAGAGAGGGAGAATTGTCCAGGACTTCACTGCTGCTGCAGAGTAGCCCAGAGTTCATAGACTTTTTACCAGCAGGGGTCAAGTCTGCAAAGCCTAACCTTGGCTCAAACTATGGGAACAGTTTAGGGGTACTGCTAGTTAAACTACTCCTTTATATTCTGTATTAGACATAATGATTCCAGATCCAGCTACCTTTGTACGCCTGTCCTGTGTCTCCTCATTGGAGATAATCCCCAGCATATGGCAGGGGTCAGTCCTGCTGCAATACTCCTGGTTGTCCCTGGCTGACTTTAGCAGGCAGACGAATCCTGAACATCTCAGGGTTGCTCCTCCACTTAAGCCATAGTGTGTGGTGGGAAGGAAGGGGTCTGGGGGAGGTATTTGGTCCACTCCTCCCCCTCAGTGCTGACACTGGTTCTGCACTTACACTTGGTGCAGCAGATGGACCATGGGGGTTGGGGTGTCACCCCTCAGCCATTCGGGGAGGTGACACAGCTCCGGCAGCGTGTCAAAAAGGATTCATTAGTG